CTTATCTATTGGTGCAAGGCTATCACCTGGCTTTGCTGTTATTGCTTCTACAGGAAGTGTACTTTGTAAAATAACAAATTTTCTTCTTACAAGCCCTATAACCCTCTCGACATGTATGCGCACATTTGCTATTTTGCGTGTCTGCTCTACTTCTAGAGCAGAGAGTTGTTTCTTACCCCTTGTAAAAGCTGGGATGTGCAACCTTGCCTGATAAAAACCAACACTGTCTTCAATATCGAACYCTCTATCTGCAAGTACTATATCCCCTGGTTGAAGCTTGCGCAACATTTTACTATTTTCAGTTAGATATTTATCACTAACTCTACCTCCCCAGGCCTTTGAAATGAAGGAAATCACACCCTGAGGGGTTATACCTATGAGGAATTTTACTGTATTGTGGTGCTTGTAATTTGACCATGTCATTGCTCGAGCAATCAAGCTAGACGGTCGGTCTATGAACACCTCAAAGCAATCAATAATGACTGCAACTTTTTTCCCAAAGTTTTGCTGAAAAACTAAGGGCATTGTCTTCCTCAACTGTTCTCGTTCTGGCCACTTAATAAGAAAATCTAGTCTATCGCTCATAATGTTGATCCACCTATAAAATATCCTGGTGGCTGTAGATTGGGAGATACCAAAGCGGTAAGCAAGATCCTGAAAGGGTAGGTTTAACTTTATTCTCATCAGTACTAGAAGAAACTCCTGGAATTGGTTCAATGCATTGTTGCAGGTTGTTGACACTTTCTGTGCTACTAGGTGAAATATATGCATTAAAATAAGAAAATTTGGTAAACCAGTATAAAATTTTGTTTTTTCATCATTCCCCCTTAGGCTATCCTCTGACAATTGTAAACTGCTTAACTGCTGTTTCAAATTTTGTAACTCAAGCRTCACAGTGTTGATGTAAATATCATTGCAGGATAGGTCAGCCATTGTAATGTCTGTCTGACAGCTAAAATTGGCCACTGTCACAGAATCAGTCTGACAGCTACAATCMTTGTTCCATTCATTTTCAAATGCTACTTGTGTGTTCTCTGTTTCATCTTGAGATTCTACAAACAGGAAAGAATGTAATTGTTGTGTGTGCTTTAAAAATTACATAGTAAAACATTGAAATTTTAATGGTYCATACAGTGTCAAAACCAGGGTATTTTGGTAGGGGCTGGCTGGCTAGCCAAATCATATTACCTACACAACCATTTTCACCTGACAGTCTGCATCTGCCCCAACCACATCATTGCTCTTCTTGGGACGAACCATTAGATTTAGAAATGGCATTATTATTTATTTATTTTTATTTTTTTGGTCTTGGCAGGAATATCATTTATTAAAATTGCATGGCACCAATTTTTTTCAATGGAATTTTTACTGAAAATATTCTTTTTTTTGCTTTTATCCCCCCCTCCATCATTTTTCTAATGATATGTTACAAATTTACTTTTTCCAAGCATTTTGCACTTTGAACTACAAATGATTATTGGATATTAGACATACCGTGGTAAGAATTAAAATCGGACAAGTGGGGAYTTTCGATGCTGCTAGATGGCGATGTCTGTACATCCAGCGAAGGCGGCTTTTCTTGGGTTTCTGATTTCTGCATCTCTTCGGCCTTTCGCTTCTTGCTAGCCCGTTGACTTGCTCTTTCATATTTTTGGACTGAAGCAGCTACTTTTTGTGAAGATATCCGATCATGCCCCATATTCTGAGTAGGGGCCCAGTCAGGATTTAGGCGATCGTAGAGTTTTCCCGGTTCGCCTAGAATGAAGTAAAGTCTTGTTAATTGTTGCAAGCATAGTTAACTATGTTGCAAGTTATCCAGCTAAAAAACTTGCGAGCTCCAATAAATTCAGGGCAAAAYTAAAGCAAAACTTACCAGAAATGAAATGACAACCGCATATTCTTGTGTTTTCCAGATTTATGCTCTTCAAATCTCCCCTATATATATTTGCTATCCATTCTCGTCTTCTATCCTCACTTATGGTTTTGCACTGATTTCCCTGGTTCTCTATAACTTTTGGGAACCTAAAAAACTTACAATTTCCTTTTTGACGCGAGCTGTTATGTGCACATCCTTTCACTGCACAATGATAAGGCATAACGGATTAAACAGAGTATAATAACGCTGCAAGTTCAATAGAGATTGTTGACCTCGTGAATAAGATGTTGACCTGATATCCGTCACGTAAACCACCATAATGGCCGACTTCCGGTTTCGAGGGTGAATTTTAATTAGCTATGACGTAGCCTGCAATCGAAGAATAGACAATGTCCTTAGTAACAACCATGTACTAACAACATAATCATTCAAATCTTATTTACTTACTTGTAATGAACCAAAAAACACCAAAACATTTCTTCGCATTATTTGGAGAAGATAATGTGGTCAAATTTACAGTGTCTGTGGTTTCTCTTCTACAGCTATAAAAATATATTTAAATATTTATTTCTGCAGCACTTTCTTCGTGGACATGACGATTTTGCCATCGCGAAATGTATTATTGCAGGTATAGTCATTGCTGAATTTCGTGTGTCATACACAGTGTATTAATTATTACAGATAAGTATATTTACTCTGTCGAAGGAATAGCGTCCGAAATGTCAGTAAGTTTTTTCATGGTGTAAATTTTACCCTTTTACCATTGTTTCATTAGGAACACCGACTCAGCTCACACTAGTTTTTAGCTAGTTATTTCTTCTTATAAGATTACTATATTATTAAGTGTTTCATACACGATGTTTGATGCAGATTGTTTTTTTCTTAGGACGATCGATGGGTGCAAGAGTTGCTGCAGAACTAGCTACAATCAGTAATCTTACAAATCAATTCATATTTGGTGTTGCTTGCCTTTCTTATCCACTTCACCCTCCACGAAAATTTTCTGAGCTTCGTACGTCATCTCTTATTCACCTTGGGATACCTGTGTTATTTGTTAGTGGAACAAAAGACCATCAGTGCCACAAGGACCTGATGGATAGTGTATTGGACAAAATGGGAACAGACTGGAAAATGCACTGGGTTGAAAAAGCTGACCATTCTCTTAACATTAATAACAAACCAAATAATGAATTAATAGACATGATGTGCGAGTGGGTTGTCACATGGTGTCAATCAGTATTCATGGCTGAACGGTAGTACCTTCAGTACTCTGTTATTATTATACATGTATGTCTAATATTCTAATATTTTTTATTGTAGTATTATTTTTCTTTATATATCACAAACCCTCCTAGATTAGCTATGCTATTTGTGAGCTAGAGTGCAAACAATTAATCCGTGAAACACTAATTACTAAATAGTACAAAATAGTGCTAATTAAACAATAGAAAACAATGGAATTTGCATGAAATTGTGCTATTTAGTATTACTAAAGTTTCACGGTTATATTGTTTGCACTCTAGTGCATTATTGTAATAATAAATTATTGTTTTTTAATATTAATAAAGGGTAAAGTACTGAAATTAAATCCTCTTACGATATCTTGCTAGTGTTGAAGTCAAAAGGTTATACAGTCTAGCTTTATCTGGTGTAACCATTTACATAACTATGGATTATTACTAAGAGTGTATTCACATCTAGAATCGAAAATCTAAGCTTGGTCTACCTGTGGTTTACCTGGGTAAAAGTGTACTTCACTAACAGGCAAAATTATGGAGTACATTCCCCCCCCCTTACCTGGATCTAATATTGAATAACATCTAAACCTTCTTTGTACAATTCATTCACAACAAAGGTATGGTGCTCTGAGTGCAGGGTCTAGGGTTTCCAGATGTCCTAAGAATGTAAGTATTAAGGTGTTTTCCTTGCTTGGAAAGTTATTTAACATGTGATTTGTGTTTCATCAAGAAAAACATTTTCTCAAAAAAAATTCCAAGCCCAGGTGTGACTGTACCTGTGACCTTCTGTTTGCCAGTCATATGCTCTTACTAACTAAACTACTGGAACTCATGTTGATGAGTGAGGTCTAGATGGTATTTAATAAGCCTGCCCTTATCACTTAGGACATCCTAAGAATGGCATCATTTCATGCATAGTTAGTTTATAGTTTCATCTTGTGGGAGTTTCTTAATTTCATCTGGGATTAGATTTCTCCAAAGACAATAGAACGTGGGTCTGTTCTTGCTGTCTTTATCCCAGCATTGCAGCATAATGTCATAAACACCATCAGGACAATTGTCAGGTTTTGGAAGCCTGTTACCATTTAAAATGTATTCCAACACCTGAAAGAATAACACAATTTGATATTGGTAGGAATGTTGGTAGGAATTCARTCATTTGTAGCACTTCAGAAATGGTGCATCTGTAATGGCTTCCAGTCAATATTCTTTGAAATTTCATCAAAAATCATTTTCCATCTCCTGTAAAAGAGTAATATACTGAACAAATAGAAACTGTGAGCATACTTCAAAACCAGTCTGAATGTGTAAACAATTCCAGTTGCATTATATTGCAGGTGTATACATCACCTTTTCATTGTCAATACCATCATATGGCTTTTTTTCTCCATAGTGGAACATTTCCCATACTGTAATTCCATAACTCCAGACATCACTTTTTGTGGTGAATTTGTTATTTTCAAGGCTCTCCGGTGCATACCTGGATAATAAATAATATGACTGGATATTTCAGCTATAAAACTACACCCACCATCTACTTGTGGAAATTCTCTTCTCTCTCTCTCTATAAATATATATTATATTAGTAATAAATTATGCATTTGGTGTGTATAATGAAGTAGAGAGAATAAGAGAAAAATATTTTTCTCTTATTCTCTCTATATATTATATTACTAAGTTAGCAGAATATCCACTAGCAGAAAATGGCTGTAGTTTTATAGCAGAAATAACTATTTATAATTAAACTGTATGCCCACAAATACACATAACTTACCATTTTATTGGCCATTTTCCACCTCTTGCTTTATAGTAGTCACTTAGTCGTGACAATCCAAAGTCACTGATTTTGACTTGATCTTCAGCTGCAACTAGGATGTTTCTTAATGCTAGATCTCTATGCAACACATTTTCATTTTCCTGCATATTAGATAGAAGTTGAGATGGTGATGATGTTGATGATGGTGAAAACAATGATGAAATGATGATGATGATCATCATCATGTGGTTGTAGTGAAACTACTGTAACCAGGGCCACTTAGACAGACAAGTGAACTAATTAAAATGTAGAAAGAAAACAATACATTCCAACTTTGGCTAGTGGAGCCTAGCAGAAACCTGGACTGCATGTAAACTAGATAGCGATCATCATTTTCTCGTGGGAATAAAAAGATATGTTGAAAGGCTATTGTTTTCTACTAGTTTCTGATTGGCTCCACTACCCAAAGTCAGAATGCATTGTTTTTATTCTACAATTTGATTGGTTCTCACTGTCTAAGCGGCCCCAGTTATAGTATTTGCACTGTAAAATGATGATGATTATGATGAGAGTATGTAAATCATGATTATTGAACATGTAGTATATTATATAATATGAACATGATGATGATGATGATAATGGTGATGATGATGATAATGGTGATGATGATGATAATGGTGATGATGATAAGATGGATTGAGCATGTAGTATAATATAAATATTTTCCCTTACCAAGCTCTTCATTCCATTTGCAATCTGTAAGCAGAATTCCAGAAGTTTATGAACTCCAATTCTCTCCTAAATAAAACACATTTCAGTATAATATTAGACGTGAACATAGAGTTTCCTGCATTGTGATTGGTTGAGTGACCAGTGATTGTGAGTCGATAGTCACTAATCAAGTGGTGATTATGTGAGAATTCCCAAAGTTTGACAAAGCAGAAGTAACATTTTTTAAATTCAGAATTCCGTCTGTTCTCTGATATTTGAGTATAAAATTATACTAAAACAATAATTCACCTCAGGCTCAGTGATTATTGGTAAATATTTACCTCACCACTAGAACACTCACAACTCAGTAAAATATTCACAGATGATCACTTTGACTTTGGCGAATAATTGTTAAATATTATTAACCACTATGATATTAAAAAAACACCAAATATACCATTATGCAGGTTAGAATATTTTTACCTTTTTTTCTTTAAGGTATTTAGGTAGAGCACCCAAAGGAGCTAGTTCTGTTACAATCATGAAAACCTCTTGGTCTGCAAAATAAATGCAAACCAATTTGACTGAAAGGTCATTGTAAACCATGCTGTTTTTTAAATACTTAGAGATTACCATGGACATGAAGGGTAGCAAACTGAATATTGGTGAAGGTAATGTGTTCAATACCCTCACAGACTACTGCAAGTACCTGTATCAAGACAAATGCCAATTGGGGTGACTAGGTTAGGATACTATTAGTACCTGTATCAAGACAAATGCCAATTGGGGTGACTAGGTT